CGGTCATGTGGTTACTTTTTTGTGAAACGAAAGATATCATCAACAGCTGAGCTACAAGATGATTTTGAAACTTTTGCAATTTGTGGCAATTTCCGTCAATATTTAATCTATCGAAAAAATATAAATACGTCTATAGAGATTTTTTTACTTAGAATCCAATGGAGTAACTAGTTTTTTTCTTTTTTTTTTTTAATTTTATGTCATTGTATTTCATCGACGACATTTGTTTTTAATTCAGGTCTGTATTCAATATTATAATATTTTAATATGACTTCTTATAGTAGGCTATGATATGCAAATAAATTATTATTATTAAATATTTTATTTAATAACTATAACAACTAATAAGTATTAGTTCATTATTATAAATTACTATCTAATACTAAATTATGATTTTAACATATAAAGTTTATCCGTGTTACCTTTTTCCTCCCTTGTATTAGTTTCAAAATTGTATTTAGTTAAGTTAGTTAATACAGTTTGCAATTTTTTAATTCCCATGACTTATCGCAGATCCTCCATGATGATTTTTGTATACTTGATTTTGAAGGTAAGTACTGATAAGTCGGAAGATCTGGGTAGCCATCTTATAGGACAGCGTATCCCAATCCAATGTCCTGTTGAAAAAATGTACTGTTTAGCTGAGGTAACGGGACTTCTTGGAATATTTCTGGTACGATATTTTCCACTATTCGTATATACAAAATTGTTGATCCCCGGGATGCGAATCATGAACTGGCTTAAATTTATAGGATTTAAATTTACAATTTTTTTAACCGCAGGTTTTGGAAGGCAGGCAATTTTTCTACAAAAATTTGTAGTAGTTGTTCTAATTGTCGCCAAGACATCGATTTCACTAATTTCCCGTTACTATTTATTACACATTATATATTTTTAAAAGTTACATTAAAGTAAAATATTCTGTATTCTCCATTATACATCTGCAAATTCATTTCAGATGCTTCATCCGTATTTCCACGACACTGCACAAAACAACAACACAGTATGTCATATTTTTCAATATTTTCAAAGTCTTCCTTGACAGCCATAATATTTGGAATAATTTAATTAAAAAATTAAATGATAGTACTTTTTGCAACATTGACAATTAGACAGACGAGGCGTTTTTTTTGTTGCGGTCGGAGCCAAGTCTTTAAAATAATAAATTCAAACAAAAATTGCACTATAATAACTAAAATAAAAAACGAATGGTAAAGTGTTGTTGTTCGGAAAGCCCCTAGCGGATACAATAACGTAAAATTATACAGAGGATCCTATTTAAAAATACACAACTTTATGTATATAGACGTATTTTAATCTCGTCGCAAATATATTTATGGAAGCTTTTGACAAAGAAGCTACTATTTAAGAGCCAATATGGGGCCGTTCAGTTTACAGAAAACCTATGCACATCCATCTATACCTTAATGCATTACCACATCACCATCCAGCCCGGAAGTCATCTCTTGCCTACAGAACTGTAAAACCATGCCAACACGAATCACTGGAGCCAGAATTAAAATATCTTACATCTGATCTTTCGTCAAACAATTTCCACATTCGATATATTCAGGGTTCAATATCAAAAGACACTTCACCATGACCTCCTAAAGAAAATGAACCTGAAAGGACACTTGCCGCTGCAGTTTCTCCTTACATTCAAAACATCACTGACCATATATCAAAAGTTTTTTAGAAATTTAATGCTAAAACCAAAGTTAGTACTTGTTCAAAAATCTCTCAATATTTTAAATCCGTCGAAGTGTAAATTGCATTTGAGACCACAAACGTTTTCAACAGTCCATTCGATCAAAATAAATTTTTTGCATGAAACCCATGCTTCCACCAAAGAAAAATTCGTGAATCGATAAAAATCTCTTCACACAAACGTCTGAGACTATGATCATGGTCCCTCTTTAACTCCGCTCCCCTTGAAACAGCAAGTAAGCAGGTACAAACTAGAATTCAAAGCAGTTTCAGTGAAACTATTTACAAAACATCTGGATTCCTCTTGCGTAGGCTGTTGGCTTCTTCAGATCATAACTGAAACTAACTGAAGCAACGCAGGAAGAATCCAGAAGTTTTGTAACTAGTATTATAGCAGCCTGTGGATATTTCCTTGAAAAATCAGTTTCAGTGAAGCCTTGATGAAACCAACAGGAATAATGGCAAAACGGCATCAAGTTCATTATCATCTTCTTCTTAAGGTACCAACTCCATTTAATGAAGATCGGCAACTATCTTGGCAAATTCGTTTCGATCTTGCGCACTCCTCAGCAATGTATGGGAGTCTAGCCCTGTCCAATCCCTCACGTTCTTTAACCATGAGCCTTGTCTCCGCCCCGGCCCTCGTCTACCCTCAATTTTGCCTTCTATTATAAGTTTTAGAAATGCATACTTATGATGTGTTCGAGGTAGGCCGTTTTCCTTTTTTTAATGATGTTTATGAGGTCCCGTTCTTTGTTCATTCTTAGTAATACCTCTTCGTTATTTACATGGTCAGTCCAGGAGTCCAGGGTATTCTCAGCATACGTCGATAAACCCACATTTCTAACGCCTCTAATTTGTTTAGCGTACTAGTCTTTAACGTCCACGACTCGACCCCATACAATAGCACAGAAAACACATAGTATTTAACAAAATTATACCGGATTTGGGTGTTAAGGCTTTTGTCACTTAGCAAGTTTCGCATTTTCAAAAATGTTGCGATGGCCATTTATATTCTTGTTCTTATTTCCACATCAAGATTTAGATCCTCTCCAATCCAGCAAGCCAAATATCTAAATTTCTGCACTTTTGAAATAACTGTCCCGCGTATTCTTATGTCCAGAGGCTGGTTCGGGGTTCGGCTTATTACCATCATTTTTGTCTTTTTTGTATTTATTTGTAGCCCCATGCGGTCACTTACCGTTGTTATTTTATTTATTAGATTAGGTATCCATAAGATATGTAAATAGTACATTTTTTCTCGTAAATAACAAAACCAAACCGATAAAAAGGCAACGCGAGTTGAAAGAAAAACGTATCTCTTTTTAGATTTTTCGGCAATTTTCAGTTTTCCAACAGTTGCTATTTCCCCTTTCGATTCCCGATTGGAATCGGTGACTTCAAAGAGGAGGCGCTGCATGTATTGCAACCCAGTGAGCTTAGTGTAAACAGTAAGTTATACGATTGTTTAGCTTCTGTCAACATTCATAGTCAGGCGGACAAATTGCGTGGGGAAAAGGTATAGTACAAACTGACCGATTTGTGTAACTGGAAAATGGAAAATGTGTAATCAATAGTTTTTTAGAACTTGAAAGTATCATTGATGCAAGACAATGATTTTACTAGTATATTTATCTCCATTATGAGACAAATTTACATACTGTTTCTACGTATTGAATTTTAAAAAACTATTTGAAAAGACATAGCAAATAAAAAAAATTAATTTTGCAAAATTTGTCTGCAGGTCTTCTGAAAACACCAGAAGAGATGGAATGAACTAGCATGCCAAGGTCAATTCCTTGATAATGATTGAGTAGAAGGAAAAAACGATGTGGCAAAGACGTAAGAGAAGCGTTTTATAATAGTGACAATAAGAATAATCACTTGAATCAATGCAACAGAAAAATAAATTTCATTCAAACTAATCAATTCATTTAGAAAAACAAAATACACATTTTTTAGATGAAACTTGGTTTGACACCCATGAAATTATAAAGAGAGTGTGGGAAAATTCTTCGTCGAACTGCATTTTGAATGTACATTATGGAACAAAAATATGTATTTTACACTGTAAGTCAAGGGAAGGTTGGGTGCCAAACGCTTTGCTACATGCAGCAAAAAACATTATAGGCTGCTCCATCAGGACATGACTGTCTAATAGTTTATGGTAATCAACAATCAGCAGTAAAAAGAGGTATTGCAAGAGTTCTTAGATCCAAAAAACAATTAGTTAAAGTTTGAAGTACCCAATCGTATGATAAAATTTACTTTTTCTACTCCCGTCTGTAAAATACCTAATTACCCACCGATCTAGCGTGCGGGAAGCGTCACATTACCACGTCAGTTTCGTTTCCCACGATTCCGAGCCACTTCGGACATTTTTGGGATTTTACCGCACGGGTTTGGAAGCAATCGGATGTTTTCGGAGATATTTCTCACGCTTTAAATTTTGACATTTGTCAATTCTAACGGTCATGTTGGTGAATATATTCGTGTTGTTTTGCGAAAATGTACCCAAAAACTAAAAGTATAGTATGCAACACGTTCGGTAAACTTTTTAACTCACTCGTTTATTAAAAACTCGCTCCGCTGCGCTTCGCTACTGTCAAATAAACTCGTGAGTCAAATGCCGTTTACCGCATACTATGATAGACAAGGTTATAAAAAAATCTGCCAATATACCTATTTAACAACTACGTTATCACTGGAATTTGAATTGAATAGAAATAATTAAAATAATAATAAATGTTGTAATTAAAAATGAATGCGAGAGAGCACTTGAAGAGTATGTGTTAATCGGGTACTTGAAGTGGAAAATAATGATAAAAAATCTTGAGGCAACGGAAAACCATTAATTATTATTATTACATATTCAAAGTATCCTGAACACTAATTTTATTTAATATGTATTTATTATTTATATAATTAGAATTTTACAGTACGAAATACGCAATACTAGAATGTATTCTTATATAGTTTTGTTTTGATTTATCGGCCAAAAAATGCCTACGAGTCTAAAAACATGAATAGCATTATAGCAAGCAGGGCCATTTATCGTGTGTCAGATTAGACGTTTTTTTCTTTGTTCCACGCCGCTTAATAAGACTACTACAGACGAAAAAAAAAAGAAGCGTTTTTGTTTTTCACTAAACCGTATTCATATGTTGAACAATACAAACTACTTCCATCTTGTCAACTGGCGAAAAACTGAATGAAAAAACAATAATACTAAAGCTGTTCCTCTAGTGCAAATGACACAAAACAAAAACACAACACCCACTTATTTCTGTCTGAAATGTCAACAAAAAGTAACGTACAATAGTCAAATGTCTATTTGAAAATAACTTCAGAAAAATTAATTTAATAAGAAATTGCGCGGGAAAATCTTTTTATCTCCATCGGCGACTTGGCAACCTCGCGACGTAACGACGCCACGCTGCGTCAGCCGTGGAAAGCACGCTAGTTGGGCGCTTGGCGCTTAGTTACACCTACGTCGGCAGCGTCATGTCTAGCGCTAGCACAAAACTCATTGATTCATCGAGCGACGACCGTTTCGACTTCACGTGCCGCAGCGAAATGGACGCGTGCCTAGCCGCCTTCGATAAGAATTGGTACGTAACCTCTTCCACCATTATGTCATTTTAATAGACAACTTCGCGCGGGATCGTTATTTCGACGGTATCACACGGTTGTCGCTCGAAGCGGGCTGCGTTGAGGATTTGAGGTTATGTTTTCGGGAATTCCTCGACGTGATGTATTAGTAGTATAGTTTTCAAATTTCGTAAAAAAGCTGTTTAGGAAGTCATCTCTACCATGATGATTTCATAGGTTTTGCTTAATTCTTATCTTCAGAACTAAAATATCGTGGACGTTCTCAACAAATATGTTCATGGCACAGCTCAATTCAATGTCTAGTCTTCCAGATACAAATATATTATAATTTGAATAATACTCCTATTGTTTTTTTTTTATTGTTTTAAATTAAAATTTTATTTTTTGGAAAAAAATATTATGAGAGAATTTTGCTTCTTGTATGGTCTTTGAAAGCTGTTTTTGTGCATGAAAGTAAAATTATTGCACCTCATTTCGGACTGATGTTCTGTCCAAATAGCACACTTTAAGCCATTGGAAATCCAACGAACCAGCTATTCTGAACAAAAATGCTGTCCAGTGGATGTCCGAGATTTTGGACGACATTTTAGAATTCAGACATCTAAAGCTTTTGAAATCCAAGTATTTATTTCTCTTGGAACTCACGTACAAATTTAATTTGAAGTGTATAAAGGTTACTTTAAGAAATATTCAAATATTAAAGTTTTTGGACCACATAAATTGACATTGAAATGTCATATAATAAACAATAACATATGATAAAATAGTCCTCAAGCATGTTTCCAATTTATTTTTTTACCATGATTTTTAAAACTCAATATTAATATTAGTTTACTTTTTATTCTGCATAAGTTTTTTTTATCGAACCATTATATTGCTGATAGGCAGCTAAAATTACAGTAAAATATCAGCATCAGTAACTATTTCCTTACGATTATATATGTTGTCACAATTGCAGTCAGTTTTGTGTAATAAAATACATTTTTATTGTGTCTCTCACTTAGCTATTTTTGAAAACATAAGTTTTAATGTATCTATAAAATGAAAAAAAATCGAAAAAAGTATTCAAATGTAGAAATGAAAGAAGAGTGAAAATCTAGTTGTTACCATAACTTACTTAATAAAACTGAGTTAATCTGTAGCCGTTTGAAACAATTTTTAATTTTGGTCGCATCACATGCACATATTTAAGAGAGTCCATCGGTTATTAACGCAAGCAAATATCTTTTGACAAATTATCCTTTCCACCGTACTTGCTGAAAATCCTTCCCACCGTCTTTGTTGAAAAATTGAACTTGTAAAATGGTAATGTATATTACTATATTGATTTTTTAATTTGTATGTCCTTTTTTCCAACACATGGTTTCTGCTGACACTAATTGTTCCTATTTATAATACTAATATTTAGATCTGATATTAAATCTTCATTGGTCTCACAAATTTATTTCATTTGTGGATCTATTTTTAGACAACTATTTCTAGCACTGAAAGTTAGCACCTTTTGAATATCAGTCTTCGATTCAACACTAGCATTTTTATTATTGAGCATCTTAAATTAATACAATTTGTTTGCATGTTTACGGAAGCGTTAGCACGTATTTAATTGTTTAATTATTAGACATCTGTACTTACAAGAACAATTCATACAAGCAGTGTGCAATAATAAAATGGCACGAATAAAATAGCATGACGAGAATTGTTTGGTTAAGACATTAGGGTTTAACTAAAGTTTATGGAATTTAGTTTTTGATTAGTAAGGCTTCTTCTTATTCTGTGCATGCATATTACCTCTCTAAGCGGTGATGTCACATAATACCAAAAATAATTATAAATAAAACATACAGAGCTATCTGTTCATATTTACTTCAATTTAACCGATTGTCACTATATCGGATTGATTTGCAAATTTTGATATAATAAAAAAGAAATATATTCTTAGAACTTTGAAATTGCCTTTTGCTGTGGTCTGCCAAAACTTACCTCTTAAACATCGTGCCTTAAGTTTTTCTCATTTTATATTATAACCTAGAGCGAACATTTAAAGGATATTCGAAGATATCCTCCTCTGGATGTTCAGAAGTCGTACAAAAATAATCGTTCATTGAACGTCTAGAGTATGCTGGACTGCATGGATAATATATGGACCAATTTGATATATCCAATGGTTGTTGTGGGCGGCAGGATTTTCATAATACATGACAAAATGGAGCAATATATTATTTTCCAAATTGTGAAGTATGCATAGTTCCTGACTGTATCCGTTTTCAATATGGGCTGTTTTAGATTACTAGGAAATTTCTGGATTATAGAAACTAAAAACCAAAATAGTCGTTTGAGCTATACATAGCTTAGTTACAGAGTGTTAAAGTTTCAATTTTACTATTAAACTTAAAATTTAACTTTTTATTTAACTTCAAACCTTTCTAAGTGAGGATAACACATCCGATATCAGTTTTGTAAAAGAATGGCTGCACAAGGGCGCAAGGGTTCTTCTTTTTGAATACAGCGTTTCGTTGGGAGGTTGTGGAACATTTTTAATTTAAGAGACCAATGCTCTATATATATAGTTCAGTAGTTGAGAAACCATTATTTGTTGCAAAGTACTATATTTTGCATTGTAAGAACTGTCGCCAAGATCAACGTTTCTGAAACATATGTTGGAGAGTTTTATTCTACTGAATTTTCCAATAAAAAAATGCATAGTTGTTACTTTTATTGATGTTTTTTGAAATATGGTTTTTAGTAACTGACAATGCCGTAAAAAAGTAAGGTTTTTATTTATAATGTGCTATTGTTGAATTATAAACAAAATAATAAAATTCCCGTTTAATATTTATATTTAATGAGTTTAAAACGTCGCTCACTTGAAGAGAGATAGCACCCAAAAAGAAAGTTTCACAAACTTTGGCCCTTGATAAGGAAGAACGTACATCACAGAATGATTCAAGATTACGTAGAAGTTGTCAATGTTAATAAATGCCGATCTTTGTTTTGAAATTAGTTTGTGTTATACGAGGCTTATCGTTTTTTAAAATTATATGTGACCGACATTTTATGTTGTCGATTTTGAAGTGCCAGTTTATCAGTTACATAAGTCATCGATTTACATAATTTTAGTTCATCAATAATTTATTTATAAATATTTGCACTTTATAATGATTCTCTAATCTACTAATAAGCTTAGGACCCTTTCTTTGACTTCGAATAATTAAGCCTTTCCCAATTTGAAAAACTAGAAAATCATTTTGTTTTTACTTTTGAATAAGAAGCTAAAAAATTGCACCGAGAAGGTAGCCATTGTGAACAAAGCGGAAATTTTGCTTCAAAAGACGATTTTGTCGTCAGCAAGACATTACCTTTGGAGAAAAAATTGTTAAAAGAGTACTCCGAAAAAGATGTCTATAATGCAGGCCACACTGGACTTTATTACTATCGTGCTTTAGCAACAAAGACAAATACGTTGAAAAATGATTAACGTTTTGGGAAAACAACTTCAAAACTCCGAATACCAATTTTGTTTTGTGCAAATATGGAAGGTGAAAAAGCAAAAATCCCCTACCACAGGTAAAATCATCATCCCCGATGAGAGTTTGATGCTAACATTAAGAGAGAGAATAGGTAGTGAGTGGAATTTTGTTTAAATAACGCAACTTCGCATTCTAAAGTAGCACTGGACAATGTGAAACTTATTTTTCTTTCATCAAACACCATCTTACGTCACCAAATTCTTTTATTGAGAGGGATGCGTAGGTAGCGGTTTTGCACTAGACTAAACTGAAAAAAAGTTACTCTCTGAGCAATGCTTTAATATGGAATTCGATAGGATTGCGAAATTGTCATCGAAGATGAACATGAACACGAACTAGAATATAATAAGTAAAAGTTTTTGGATCTGAAACAATGTTCATAAATTGACAGCAATGTAGCCACAGAGACTGTGTCGAAGGGGTACTACAAATAAGTCCGTGTTCTCCCAATTCTGAAAATGAGGTTGAACAACCTACATTGCAGTGTCCAATGTAGCACATCTGTCCGCAGCCTGTGTGATTTGGAGAGGCTTGTAAACTTTTTTCTTAATTTGAACAATTGTGGTAAGGTACAATAGACGATGTTTTATATGATCGACATAAAAATTTCTTATTTGTTATTTCTGTATATATATATATATATATATATATATATATATATATATATATATATATATATATATATATATATATATATATATATATATATATATATATATATATATATATATATATATATATATATATATATATTTTAATGACTTTTATTTTCTTTGTTTTTCTTTTAAGCAACCAATATCTTCCCAAGGGTGGTCGCTATTCTACTGTATACCTGCTAATGAACTGCTTGCCTTGCTTTTCATTTCTTTCCATTCTCTATCAACCATCCACGTAGAGCATGGCGACAACTTCTTTAAACCTAACTTAAAAAGGGTCATTGTGAGTTCTCGCACACGTAAATATTGAAGTTGCTAAGGCTAAGGTTCGTCAAGTCCTTAAAAATTTAATTAACGTTGTTTTTGCAAACACCCTTTGGTATTACGACCTGCTTTGTGTAGCCTTGAATGTGGGCGAAGCGCCAAACCGAATTGGAAGCGAGTCTAGGGTCGATGGAAGAGAAGTTGAATGACTATCCGATCGCGTGCCTTTATTATAGCGGCCGTGAAAATACTTCAACGTGTGCAAAGACCGACGAACCAACAAACAGCAATTTATCATTTTTCTCTTAAAATAAGCAAACGAAGCGGAAGTACAAAACGGCGTTCGTATCGACGGAAATGTTTTGAAGCCGTGACGTAACTACCTGAAAGAAAGAGCGTTTTCATTGATTCGCGTTTTGGTTCCGGTTTAAAAATATTACAGATGCGTAATTTGGCCAATTTACGCGGTTCACTGACCTACATGGTTTGGACCATACCAGCAACCAACGTCGTGATAAATTTAAGTGAATCAATCATAACCGTCACTCAGTTATTTACTATTCTTCAACTTTCACCAATATGGGAATCAATCATTTGAAGGAATATTCATGCACCTGCTTCTTCAAGTAGTATATTGAGCAGGTACAGAGTAGAATGCAATTCAGTTTCACATGACCTCTGAAGAAGCCAGAGAATAATTTGTAAATAGTGCTCAAATGATTGGCTGCACACAACCCACTATTCAGGAAAATTGTTAAAAGTAAAGCGGGAGTTAAGCGGTTTAATACTTTTCAGCATACGTTTCTAAAAGATTAAGTTGTTGAGATTGGTAAAAGTTGATTTTGTTACCGTGACATCGGTATTGTTGTGTTTTAAGAATTGATGTTTGTGTTCTTTAATTGTTTACAAAAATTTTCTACTCAACTTTCCTACAACAGCTAGGCGTTCAACAACAACACATATTTTACTGGTAAGATTTCCATTTCGATAATAAGACTTCAGGTCTGAATTTATCATTTTTAAAGGTTTGATGAATGCCATTTTAGGAGGGCGAAATATGTCAGCTGTTTTTTTTTAATTAAATGTATGCTTTGGCGAATGATACCGTGGATTTGTTGTATTACCTGTATTTAACCCCCAGTATCTTGGAGAATGGATGCATTTCTCAGTTAAGTTATGTACTTTCGCTATGTAGGTAGAAGATCACTAGCATTGTGTCACATTCAACAAAATTTCCTCAATTCTAATTCTAGAGAGAAGTGCCGTGAACTGAAAAAACTTTAATATTATAAAATGCAAACAAACAACTCTACCTAAGTGTTCTAATAATGCAGACGCTATTAATAATTGTTTATAAGCTGCCACCGCCTTTAATACTGTGCCCAACCCAAGACTTCTTAACTTTTGTAAAAATAACATTATTCTGAATATTTAAATTATTTTGCCCCCAATCAGGTTTTAGAGCTGATTATAGTTGGAAAAGTGCTTTTTTCTACCCCCGTCTGTAAAATCCCTAATTACACACCGATCTAGCATGCGAGAAGCGTCACTTTACCACGTCAGTTTCGTCTCCCATGAATCCGAGCCACTTCGGACATTTCCGGGATTTTACCGCACGGGTTTGGGAGCAATCGGATATTTTCGGAGATATTTTTCCACGCCTTGAATTTTGACGTTTGTCAATTCTGACGGTCATGTCAGTAAATGTATTCGTGTTGTTTTGCGAAAATGTACCCAAAAACTAACGGTCGTAGAAAAAGTATTGTATGCAACAGGTTGGGTAAACTTTTTAAGTCACTCGTTTATTAAACACTCGCTTCGCTCGTGTCAAATAAACTCGTGAGTGAAATACCATTTACCACACTTGTTGCATAATGTAATACTACAGATGTAATACTATTTAGTTTTACGTGATTTTAGCAAAGCATTTGACATGATAAATCATGAGACCCTAATTTCAATGCTTTATCATAGAAGTCAGTGAAGTGTTTTATAAATTCGTTAACATCCTTTTTAAATGCCAAATACAAAAATAATACTTATACTAACTTAATGAAATCAGAACTGATATGTTCCCTTCTATAAAAAGGATGGTAACCAACGATTTGTTGCAAGCTTGCAAAGATATATAATTCTCTACCTCTGAGCTTAAGAAAATTTTCTGTTTGCAAAATATTAGCAACAAAGCAACTATAGAACGTTCCTCGGGTTCATATTGCACAAGTATATTTTGTCCCTAAAGCATTTGATACTGGTTTCATATTTTCTTCTTTCTCCTTTTCACTTCTTCTTCTCTTTCTCTTAGTACGTGCAGGTTGTATAATAATCATGTATATTTATAATTATATAAAGTTCTGCAATTGACGTAATGCTAGTTAGATTTTTGCACATACAGATTGTTTCTGATCTAGGTGTAATTTTTTTAGTTCTTATTAATTATTGTTATTATTGTACCAACCCGTTCGCAGTTGTTTTCTGCAATGGTGTAATTTAAAAGTTATCTTCACGATGGTTGAAAATCTCAGAAATCTTGTCTTTTATATTTCTGTTACAGGTTTTAAAATGAAAACATTAATAAAAATAAACTATAAACGAATTAACTTCTATACCTAGGCTGTTAACAAGTGGGTACCCCAGGGTGGTATTTAGGTAGTATTTAAAATCCCACTTCTGTTTGTAATTTTTACATCCAGATTTACAACAGCGTTACAGTTTTGTGATTATGCCGATGACACTCAGGTGTACCTTAATAAAACAAGCAACAGTATTAATTCTCATTTGAATAGACCTTACGATTCTGTCAGTCAACATATCGTACTTAAACCTAATAAATGCTCATATTTGGAAATGATAATCAAATTGATAATATAAAAAGCAATGAAGTACTTGAAAAGGTTTAGGAACTACTCTAGATTCTCGTATAAAATTTAGAGAGCACATTACAAGCAAGTGAAAAGTTGGCAAGCAAGTTAAAAGTTTCATATATTAATCCAAATTTAATTTACGGATTTGACTTTTAAAAAAACTATTAAGAGACCTTTTTTGTAGAGCATTAAATTCCCTTCAATAATCAATAGTTCTTCTGTAAAATAGCCTGTTACATAGCTTTGGTTAGTATCTTTTTCTACTCCCCTCTGTAAAATACCTAATTACACACCCATCTAGCGTGCGAGAAGCATCACTTTACCACGTCAGTTTCATTTCCCGCGTATCCGAGCCACTTCGGACATTTCCGGCATTTTACCGCACGAGTTTGGGAGCAATCGGATGTTTTCGGAAATTTTACCGCGCGGCTTGAATTTTGACGTTTGTCAATTCTAACGGTCGTAGAAAAAGTATAGTATGCAACACGTTCGGTAAACTGTTTAAGTCACTCATGCCGTTTACTGAAAAATTCTGGGTTATTCAAATTTCCATTACGTGAGACAGGTTTTGGTTTGTGGCGACAATCATTTATTAAACAGTCACTACGCTACGCGTTTACCAAGCGCGATGAATACTATACTTTTTCTATGACCCTTAGTTTTTGGGTACATTTTTGCAAAATAACACTAAAACATCCACTGACATGACGAACAGAATTGACAAACGTCAAAATTCAAAGCGTGGTAAATATCTCCGAACACATCTGATTGCTCCCAAACCCCAGTGGTAACCCCGGAAATGTCCGAAGGGGCTGGGATCCGTGGGAAACGAAATTGAGGTGGTAAAGTGAAGCTTTCTGCACGTTAGATCCGTGTATAACTTGATATTTTACACAAGGGAGTATATACATTTAATTTATTAATCTTATTTTTATGGTAAAAGCAATATTTATTTAATTAGTATTATTAATCTGATTACATATTCGACCATAGGCACCCATTTTTTTGAATTTTGTATTTGTGCCCTAAGTAATAATAAAATTTTATAAAAACTTTCAGTTTAGGTTAATTACATACCCACGATTTTTTTATTTAAGTTTTATGTTTTTACTGGCTTAGTTGGAGTTGGTCAAAACGGTATGTCGTGTTCCTGAACAATTTCGGATGTCCCTTATTTTCTTTCGGGTCGTTTAAAATATGAACTAACGGTGTGAACGGCGATGAGTAAAAATAACTTTCGGAAGCGATATTGACGCTTTTTAAAGCGATTTAACGGTCACGTGCAAAATTCCCATTAAACAGGAAATTGCCAATATTTACCGTCGGCGACGTCATAGAGCCCGTGACGTCGCCTAGTTCATTCTTGCCCTCGGAAATTTAATGGTTAGTTCTTTACCAGTTACCAATTTTCTTTATTAGGCAGTTTTAATATTTTTAGGACATATGGATTGGGAAGTGATTCATCCGGTGATACAAATCTTTCAGAATGACGAAAAAAAAGATCATCGTAAAAGTTTCAACCGTTAGTATTAATGGCAAGAGGCCTATTATTTATATTTTCATTCTTTTTGGCATTATCTCATTATTGCGTTCAAAACAGCGAAACGACTGAGGTCAAATATTTATCTGAATATATATATTTTTGTACGAGATTGGATACTTTGGATAAAAAAAAGCTCAGGCTAAAAATTTTTTATCAGACGAACCCTTTGCAGGAAATCAAGGCTGAAACATTCATAAGTTTTTTATTTTGAAACAACTCGATATATAAAAAAGAGCAATAATGATTTGATTGATTGATATTGAAGTCCTACAAAAAAGGTCTCTTAATATATTTTATTAAGCTGTTAAAAAAAGTTATTTACGATTCAACTTGAATATTGAATTAAATTCGCATTCTACACAATCGAAAATTACTCTACTCTCATAATCATTAAAACAATAAATTAAAATAATTTTAAATATATCAATTATTTGGTTTTACTAATAATAATTATTTATTTACAAAATTCTTTCCTTTGAGGCCAAAAGTGGCAGTACATCGGTAAATAAATCTGAAGCAAGTAATATAATAAAAATAAAAAATATTCAAAAACGGATTCGGATTCACTATGCCTTTATTCCACTGAGTTTGTGATCTTGCCTTACGGAATGGAAATTTGAATAACTCAGAATTTTTTAATTCTCGGAAAGAAGAAAGCAGAAAAATACTAACCAAAACTAACAAGCAGCTGTAAAGAACTACTGATTTTTAAAGGAAATTTAATGTTCTACAAAAAAGTCTCTTAATATATTTTTTTTAAGTAGTAAAACAACATATTTATTTTTGAAATTATTATTAAAATTATTTTTAGTGATTGTATTGATGATGAATGTCGATGATATTTGTACCTTATTTTATGGCAGTTTTGACTCAATAATAAGGTCATAACAAAAAAGTAAAAAATTTCTCCATTTCGGCGTTGTATCAGGTTTTTTTTCTTTCGATTGCATTTTTTAAAGCTTTGCTCGAACGTGGTTGCTTTAGGGCTCTCTGCCTCATGTAAAGTTCATTCAAATTCAGTTTGAAGCAGTCTATAAGTTTACCGAAATATTGAAATAACTCGCAAAATCATTTATAATGTTTTAGCGATGGAAAATTAGATCCGAACGAATTCAGGCAGCTCTGCAAGGCCTTGTTTAGGGACAGCACTGGCCAATCGTATCCACTGGACGCTTCGGTAGCGGACATTTTTAATTTGTTCGACGTCAACGCTGACGGACAAATAGATCGGGACGAGTTCGTGTACTGTTGGAACAACTGGATCAAAATAGTGAGTGACACGTGATACTAGATGCCATGTTATCGGTTTCCTTCAAATATGCTCGTAAATATTTTTTAAATATCTGCCTGAGGAAAGAAAAAAGTTCAAGAATGACAGAAGATATTTTGAATCATTATAGCTTATTTCTTAATGCCAAAGAGTAATAAAATATTAATTTTCCATGACAGGGATCATTAATCAGGTTGGACAACTTAAAGCGTATGTTATAATATTCGTTCATCTTGAATCGTTCCTAAATTACAGTCACAGTAATTTGCATGCAACAGATAGACGAAAATGAAAGTAATAAAAGTAATGGATAAATTATAATAAATAATATTCTATAAAAAAACTATTTGCCATACAACTCTAGTTGTAAATTTTAGTCATCATGTTGCGAGTAGACTATAGTCGTTGGAATCCAGACAAATACTAAGGGGCTCTACAGTATTTTCTAGCATGTTATCACCTTTCCACATTCTTTGCTCTATTTCAATCACATGTTCGAAAAGAGGTTATAATAATGTTGTTAAGCATTATCTTTGATTATAACAAACCCAGAAGAAATAAGATCCAGCATTCGCTAGCTAGAAGTAGTCTTCGAACACATCAGCATTCATGTCAGGTAAGTAAACCACTACCTACCAATCTTTACTATCAATTTTTTACCTTTTCGTGAGGATGCTTTCGCTCCAGTGAACCATCCTTCCATGAAAGCTTGCCCCGCAGTTCTTAAATTTTTATCCTGCATGTTTTACCAACGGTATATTCTATATCCTTCATTTAGCTAAGTTTCCTCCAGATAAAAGATATTCCTTTAAAGGAAGTGAAAATCATAAACAAAAAAACTACATGGTTAATTTTTCTGAAAGAAAATATGATTTTATTAAAAAATAAGGTTTTCAATAAGTTTGCATAAACTAAGAGTGACGCAGACTGAAACTCTTATAAACAAATAAAAAACCAAACAAATTTAGCCATTCCAGCGGAGAAAAATATCTCGAACACAGCGAGAATAGTAATTTAAATAATGCTAAAACTATTTAAAAAAAAGCTTACAGATCTAAATATCTACACAAAAAGAAACTTATAATGAAGAACCGGAATTTTTGAGCTACCCTAATAAAATAAACAATGGTTTCTTGCTCTCCTTAATACGCAATTATTTTTTGAATAAACCGATCTTGGATTATTATCAAAATAATTGCAAAACACATTTTGAAGTGCCATTTGATTGTTGTTACACAGTTAATGAAGAGAATATTATAAAGTTTTTGTTAGACTTTTGCATGAATGAATTATGAAGATGAATTAAATATTAATATGGCCCTTTTAGACTGTCTCAGAATTCTCCGCGCTCTGAGTAATACTGTCAATTTCTGTGTATTAGATATCGAAAGTAATCAACTCCACTGCCTAAAAAGTCCGAAATCTTAAATTTTAGTGACCCTTATTCTTATTATAAGTAAAACGAGTGCATTCTTGAGATGGCATTCTTTTCATTCTTTTTTATGACGGTGTCTTTTCTTCTTGTACTTTTTTTTGGTGACCTGGTAGGCCGCGTTTATCATCGTACTTATATTTTTCACTGTCCAACTCCAGCAATATTAGAATATATTTGAAAAATTTTGAATTTATTAGGAATAAGAATTTTTTTTATTTTTAGAAAACGCCGTTTTACCAATCCGCTTCTGAGTAAAAAATTTAGAAACTTTAGCTATTTTCAAGAACAAACTTTGCCAACAACTGCCGGAAAGTAATTATGTTTCTAATTTTAAATACTAATTCACAGGTAGGTCGACTATCCGAACGTCTAACTGTCACTTTCAGGCTTCAAGCTAAGACCTCTAAGTTTAACAGTTTAATAAATTTATAAATCTCTCGCATCAAAAAACAGGGCATAATCATAGGTATTTAGCATTAAAACATGGCATTTCAATGTGCATTTTGAAAATCTACGTCACTATCGCCGTAATTTTCCAAAGAATTGATCATATCGCATTCAATGATTTGGTCCAATAAATTTAAGGAGGAAGACATCCTTTTCTTTCCTTCACTTTATTATTACCACGACGTTAAATTTTAACGTGGTTGCTCTAAGTTGACAGCTCGATATATTTGAAGGAGACAGGCTCGTTTAGGTAGCACGAAAATCTGCTCTGCACTCTACAATAATATCTTCAATATTTCGCTCTGATTCGTCACGCAGAAAAGCGGATATTACGCAATGTATAACGGGCAATTATTCGCAAGGAATGATTCGGAGACCCGCGTTATAGTTCAGTCAATTAACACCTGACCTTTCGAAGGTGCGATTTGCCGCATAAAGCGAACTTTCCGTACGTTCCGCCTGCTAAATTTACCCCCAAATGTGGGGGGTTAAATTCAGGGCGCCCTTGTTTCGGAAAACTTTGAACTTTGATTTCTGCTTGAACGGAAAATATTGACTAGTAATCAATTGCAGTTAAAAATATTTTGGGAATCGCGTTTGATTTTCTTTGCTCATAAATGCCTACTTATACCTTAGATAGTACAACTTTTAACCAGCCTGTACAATGTGATACACGCATGCTCTATCCGAAATTTGAAATGACACATAAATAAAAAATGATCCCCTACAATGTGTACAGCTACAATACTTATATGTTTTCCATCTACTGACCCCAAACAATGCTTTGGTGGTAGGAAAAAATATAAGTAAATTTAATTAATTGAATATTAAAAATTGTCCCGCGTCCATGAGCTATAATTTTATCTAAATACTAAGATTGTCGAAAATTTTAAGTCTTCTAAACTTCGCTCCGTAACTAAAAATCAGTAATTTAAGGTATTCTTATTCAGGCGGAAATAATTTTGGAAGTTGTAGACTTGTATTGTACTGTATTGTAATTGTATATAGCTTACTAAATTAGAGTAATATATTGCTCTATTTTTCCACCCGCTATCTTGTTTTCTTAACAGGATGTCGGCAGCAGGGCCAAAATATATTTGCATACATCATAAAAAAATTAGTTAGACTCAAAGTAGCACTGCAGTGACAAGTAAATCTGCATCGTGCAAGTAATGCAATAAAAAGGAAACAATGTTACTTTTTTGCTTAAAATTTCTAAGATATTAGAACTAGACTTTCAAATTTTTGTATGCATATTATCTATCTATTTTACTGGGAAAATAAAAGCCTGATAGGATTTTACTACAATTTCAAACCGCCAAGAACGAGAAACAAATTTCAAATTTTTAATTCCACGGCAGTGACTCATTTATCGACCTGACGTAAAATAAATTTAAGTTCGAAAATCGTATCAACTCTTTGCACCATTTAATCAACTCCATGTTCGTAAAAAGTTGACGTACTCTCAACATGATTCGCTAAACGTTTTATAAATCTCAAGGTAGATGGCGCTCGAGTCATGTAAATTCAACTTAAAAGTTTTACCCAAAAGTTATGGAACCGGAATTCAGTGTTAACTTAACACATCACCCAAAAAAAATATCAACTTAATTTTAGTTTGATCATGGAAATAAGAATTTATGAGGAAATTAATTAAAATTATTTATTGCGACAAAAAAAATAGGAATTGTCATGACACGGTACTGACATTTGGCTGATATATTGTAAATTATCTCTGAATGAAAAAATATGTTGTAATATGTTCATGATGAACTAATTAATATAAAAACTTCATTATTAGATTATTAATTAATCATCAATTAGAACAAACAATACCGGATATAAAGATCACAGTTAAAACAGAATCGCGCCCATTTATTCGATGATTAATTGTTTTCGTCGAAAATGGACAGAGGAGAAATCCGTGTTACAACTTTCCAAAACTAGTTCCACGCAATGGAATGTTGCATAACTTACCATTTGTTAATTCTCAGAAACATGAAAGGATACAAATAATATTTTCAAGCACTAGTCTTGAACGGAATGAATTCTTTTTATGTTTTTAATGTCCTTTTTTGAATTTCTCTCCAAAAATGGAGAGAGAGAAGAAGTATTTTCGCTATACCTAGTATCTGTTGAGCTTGAAACCTTTGAAATAAACGCATATATTTATTGGATCATTAACTCCTTTCGAAGAAAAAGGGAAGAGGGCAAACCAGTGTTGCAACTAACCAAAACTTGTTCCACTAAACCGTATGTTCAATAATTCACAATTTGTCAGTTCTCAGGAACAGAAAAAGAGAAAGATAATATTATCAAGAACTAGTTTTGAACAGAATTTCTCTCCAAAAATGGTCAGAGGTATAATTTCGTTATGTGTTCGTTTCGCTGAGCTTGAGACCTTTGTAATAAATGAATATATTCTGGTAATTCCGTTGTAACTGTTACTTTTTTACTTAAAATTTGAATTTCTCTCCACAAATGGCCAGAGAAGGAGACATTTCGCTATATGTCCATTCCGCGCTGAGCTTCAGACTTTTGTAATAAATGATTGTATTTATTTACACATATTCGTTCGTTCTTAGGAAGGAATCTTTGGAAGGGAATGGAATCTTTGTATATTATTAATGTTCTCTTTCGAATTTCGCTGCAAAAATGGTCAGAGAGGGGATAATTTCGGTATGACGCTTATACGTTGACCTTGAGGACTTTAAGAAACAGAGGACAACTTAGTGTTGCAATTAACCGAAACTTGTCTTACACAATGGAATGTTGAATAACTCACAATTTGTCCATTCTCAGAAAGCGGAAAGGAGAAGAAGAACTCGTTTTGAACAAAATGGCATTTTTCATGCATGTGTCATCTCTGATGCCAAGTGGAAACAAAACATATTTTGCTGCAAACAACGGACTAACACAACGTAATATATAAAACATTTTGGATTACGATTGATGAATCTCAGCTTTGTGTTTTGCTACACAACGAGTTTGTCTATATGCTATAAATCATGATCAGTGTCACACATAACGATAAATTCGAAATGGCGTACGCTTTGTTCTTCTTACAATTAATCACATGTATTTTATGTATCTAAAATCTATAGCAAAGTCGCAAACCAATAAGCAAGTAGTTGAATAGGCAGCATAATCACATGCCCAAGCTTGAAAAACGGACTTGCCCGTAAGCGGGTCCGTAGAAACCTCCGCCTTTAGTTTCTTCTTCTTTTATTTATTGTCGTTAGTTAATTTATATTTTAGATAGTCAAACCGATTTCGGCCCTCCTCGTAATCGACGTTCAAAATGATTTTATATGCGGCACGCTGGACATCAGAAACTGTCCGGCCCAGCAAAACGGCGAAGACGTCATCGAACCCATCAATCATCTGTTAGATTCTGTCGACTTTGACGCCGTGTTCTACTCTCACGACTGGCACCCCGAGGATCACGTTTCGTTCGTCGACAATTTGCAGTAAGTTTGTTTCACGGACTGGCGCGCTTTTTCGTGCGAATTTGTCGGTTAAAGGAAGTCACGCAAAAAGCCTCTCCATTTTTGCTTCCGCGATAACACCGTTACGTGAAAGTTGCTTCGCGTGACGTCGTTTTATTTTGGTTAGTTTGGAAGTCCAAGACGACAATTATTTAATTTAATAAATAAGATTTGAAATTGGAAAAAAAAATAGAAAAACTTAAAAACCGTTTGGAATAAATTAGATATAAATCAAGAATAATAGAAAACCAAGAAGAGAAAACAAAGCAAAACAAACTAGTATCGACGAGTTGCAGCTTATAAAATCCGGTATCATTTAGTGCTACGGATAAGTTGGAATTATGAAGATATTTATTTATTATTTATTTATAAACGGGATCAAGCCTATTGCAAGACAAAATACCACGTTGACCGTTACCAAGACTCTTAAGACAAACTAACGATACTTAAATTATTTCAGTATTTTTTTTTGACAGATGCGATATTGTTGCAACTTTCGAAACATTAAATAATGCGCTATGAACCTCTATATACGTCCTTTGCTTTAAGGTTTTGATGCATAAAAATTTTTAAAATTGGGTTTTATTGATCAGCAATTTGTCACCAAAAAAGTAAGAAATTAGCCCGACATTTTTCAGAGCTGACAACCTTGTCTTGTTTCAAAGCTGCCTACCCTAGTCTCCTTAAAAAGCAAAGGAATCCTATTGTAGGTACAGGCATGAGCACTGAGTAAAAACTGAGAAATTATACAAAAATACTTAACATGCCTCCTGCATTAAAAGCTACCACTTACTTTCAACACAAAAGAGAATAGGAATACAGCTTTATCTCACTGGTAGAGAGCAAAGTTTAGCCCATTCAATGGTCCCAACTTGAGTTTTCAATGTCGCTTCGCGACTATCACCGTCGTTCCCGGGATGTAATTATGTAACTATTCCAAGTTTCCAGCACACAACCAACAAGTTATCTTCTTTCCCAAGTACAAACTTGCCTTCGTGAAGAGTACTTGGGGCCTTCTTTCATTTACACTTTTGTTGCAAATCGGAGAGATATCGTGAACTTGGAGATAATGACGGAACAGGTCGACAATTTAGGATCGGTTTAATTTGAATGAGCTGTATATAAAAATGTTCAAAAGGTAAATTTATGCTGGACACTACTTTCTGTAAATTATTAGATCATTGTCATTTTTTCTGATAAAATTGTATAAAACTTAGCTGCCACAAAATGGGTTCTGTTGTGCCCAGAGAATAGGCTACAGGCATGCACACCCAATAAAACCGAGAAATTAATCAAAAATATTTAACAACATATTTACCGATAAGTCTCGAATTAAGTTTAGCAATCAAAATCAAATAAATTTGTTCTGAAGCGTCACTATGATCTAACCATTGCAAGCAAGGAGACCGTATCATTGATCCATACTCTTAATATCAGGACAATAATTAACATATATATTTTTACAAGTGTCTAGCGAAGACTATTTGCAGTTCGAGCTACAGATTCCAACACTAGAAGATTTAAGAGTTAGAAAACTTTTTTATATCAATCGCTGATCGAACAAAATACCAAGATCTTGACAACTTCACAACATTGCAGTGGCTTTCCATGTTGTAAGATGCACTCACCCTTTAATTGGTCATTATCTAAATTAACAAGAACATAAAGCTCCTAGAATACTTTATTTCGTCAGCCAAGAACAGCGACATTGTTTTAGTAAAATTATTATTGAGTCAAGGCGAACAATGAATGCCCTGAGACACACTAGGTGATACACTCATATAATTTGAGCCATATCCGACAGATAATCCGCAAACTGGACCACCATAACATCAGAAAAACAAAAAAGATCTAACCGAATACCACGATCAATTGTACCAAATGCTTTAACAAAAGTTGTAAGTAGCATGTAAGATATGGACAGATGACAATTCTAAATGAGAGTTAGAATAATTTAGTATGAGGAGGAGAGATATACGTTGAAAATGGAAGACTGAGCATGTCGTTAATAAATTTAGTTGCATTGAAAAATAGGCTGGATTCCGCGTTCATAAATTGCCAAACGAATAAGTGCAATTTTCTTTTCCCCTTTCAATGTGTATATTTACAAATGCCGTAAATAAACCTTAAACATGACTTTTGTACCCCCCCCCCCCCCCCATTCTTTCATACTATCTTAACACGGACCATATCATAGTTAAAATGACTTGAAACTGTGGAGTCAGATTTGTAGATAACAGGTGCTGGTAACCCAGATGGTAACAATAAGATGATGATGAAAATCAAGATAATATAAAATACAAAATAAAAATGGAACACAGACCCCCAACATTTCTAAATTTAATATAAGAAAATAAAAACACATTTTGCCTCTGCTACCATAATTAAAATTTTGCAGAATAAGTATAGAAAAAAACTGGTCTAGGCCTAAGAATTAAAAAATAAATAAATAAATCTTGCTTCAATCTTTTAGAAAACCGAAAGATGAAGGTAAATAATGTATAGAAAACTTAGAACCCGATTTGCTGATTCTTGATTTTATAATGTGTCCTGCATTATTCTTGGGTTTCTCTTAGTTTCTTTGTTTACTGATCCCTTTCCAACTAATATTTATCAATAATTGGATCGCATACTCAGTGGCGAACACGAATTTGATATTCAGTCTATTTCAGCTTGAGAAAACTTCACGAATCCAGCCCGATCGCGGGTAATAACGCAAAACTGTACGATACGGTTGTTTTCGACGGCGACCCGCCTATGGTGCAACGCTTATGGCCACGCCACTGCGTGCAAAATACCTGGGGAAGTGAACTGTACAAAGATCTCAAGGTATTGTTCCACCAAACACAGTTGAAGTTCAAGTTTATTGTAACATTTTTAATTCTTTCAAATTTAGATTTTGAGTTTTTTTACACAATTATTGTTACTAAAAAATCCCCCGATGCATTATTTATAATTTACAATCAAATAATTCATCCATACTAAGATTTTTAATTTTCATTAAGTTATAACTATTATACGACACAAGCATAGCAGTTTGATGAAATTAAATGCTCTTCGATTTTGTACTTGTTTATTGTAAGGCACCAAATTTTGTATGGACGAAATGCCTAGGAGAATCGGGAACATTGCCAAATTTTTAACCCTCAAAAGGCTGAGTTTGAAGTAGTCCAAGAAGTAATCTTCCTTTGAAAATTGATTTAAAAATTTAATAATTTAAATTCAAGTAGTTGTGTTCCAACGCTGCGCGAAGTGATTTGAATCCTTGGTAAATCCTCTGGAAATGCATAGTAGTTTAGTAAATCCTCTTGAATTCTCGTAAGTCCTTATAAATCAATGACAAATCACCATGCCACCAGTGCCATATACTTTCTAGGTTGTCGATAACGCGGTCAAGATCTACAAAGGCACGAATCCCGAGGTCGATTCCTACTCGGCATTTTGGGACAACTCCAAGCTGACGGACACCAAACTGGAAGCCCAACTGAAGATGCGAAACATTACGGACGTTTACGTGTGCGGTATAGCGTATGATGTTTGCGTGGGTAAGATCGTCTATTAGAGGTACAAAAATTAAAAAGTTGTCTGTTGATTTTTACACAGGCGCCACTGCCGCGGACGCGATCGTCAGCGGCTTTCGAACGATACTCATAGACGATTGCTGCAGAGGGGTGGACCTTCTGGATATCGAGAAAACTAAACGGAACCTAACCAAAAACCACGGTATCATCGTTAGTTCGAATCAGGTGGACGCCCTGGTCAAAGGCAACGACAGACGACCCGAACTGGGTTACAAATTGGCCTTAAACCTAAAAGCCATGAAGCAGCCCGCGCCGAAAGAGGTTAACTAGCAAGTTGCACGTTGCATTAAAAGTCGGAGCTAGGTATACATACAAAAAGCAGATATTTTATCTTTTAAAGTGTACCGGTTTCAGTAAACGGTGGATTCACGCAAACATGCATTACATTCCGTTGTTTTTGAACAGAACCCAGTTTTAAGGTTCTTAAACGAAGAAATTCTTCATGTGTCACGTCCCTGACTTCCTGATATTTTTCTTAATATTTATTGTATTAATTATTTCTGTCTATTTTTGCTCCACATCTATTAGCTATTAGGTTCTCAATACATTTTCAGTATTCTGGGGTAGAGCCACGCAGCCCTGTCAAGGTCCAAGATTCCATACCATAAAGTAGAACAGAAAAGACATTTTTGTAGTGTAAGTACGTGTCCTTGAAGAGTGGTGCCATCTTAATAAATACCGCTGTGGCTTTTTCAAAACAGCATTGAATTTCCCCAATTGTATGATTGATCATTCTATGCGTCGTTGGTCTATTATGGGGTACTTACTAATCACCATATATTTAGTTTTATTTAAGTTTAAATTTAATCCATATTCCATGCTGACTTCCATTGCGCTATTCGTAAGTAGGTGCAGTTCTTCGTACCTAATATTATTTACAAGTATTCCTGAATTGTTATTTTCAAGCGTCTTCTTAAATGTATGTTCGAAGTATATATTGAACAACACAGGTGTTATTGTCACTTCTTCTGAATCATTCCCATCGATGTCTGAAAATGCTGTTTGGTGCCGGAATAATTGTCAAATTAATTGTAAATTTAATCTCAGATAAAATCTCCACTAGTGTATGACGTTGAAGCCTATATAATCAGGTACACAACATGAGGCACTAACATTACAATTAACAAAGTCTCAAAAAAATATTTTTAAACAAAAGAAAATGAAAGGTACAAATACATTAAATTTAGTTTGAGCATTATATCTAGGCGCATATAACAAGCAGGCGTTTTGGTCATTGAGGCATTAAAAATAAATTTTCTAACATTTCTGGACAGTCTACTCTCTTATTAATGGTGTTATGCAAAAAATGCTAATGTGTACTATTCAACAATATTTAATAAATTTTAATAATTTAAAATTTAATAAATAAATTTCAACATATGATAGAAGTCAAGGTTTGCTTCATACAATACACCTAGTCGATTGCGATTATATCTAAAGTTTATGTGAAAAATAAACTTTATTTTTCGTACTACATCTTGAAATTTTTTGCCAATCCTAAAAATAAAGCCCAAGTTTTTTCGACTATGTTTACAATATAAATTTCAAAACTTGTCTATAGTAATTCCAAGATTCCTGATATTTTAATACAACACTCTTAATTTTTAACTTTAATAACACAGTCGACTTCTTAAGTAATAGACATAAACCTTATCAAAATCCTCCTGAAATGTGTGACAGTCATCGATGCTCCGCACATACACTTACGACGTTTGGTCATCAGCATACGAAATAAATTTTACAAAACCAAAACACTTACGCGCGTCTGTTATGAGCAAAGGGAACAGCAGAGGTCCCAAGTGCGATCTCTGAGGTATGGCAGCAGTGGTATCAGAAGATTTAAATTTAGTCCCATTTGACGCGAACTCTATCGGCGGCCTTTCTAAACAGAGACGTGGTGCTCTGTTTGTACCACTGGAGTAGGTTTTACAGCCACGATGTTCTGAGACGTCTTGGGCCTCCTTTAGCCACATCTTTCTCTCAACAATGATGTGTAATAGTTTGTACTTGTCATTACGCACAACGTGGCCAGTTTTCGACGTTTAAAGATATTTAAATTCTCTCTGTCCAGGGAATCTTAAGTATCCTACGACACTGCCACATTTCGAAAGCTTTCAACTTCTTGCACATTGAGTCTGTGAGTGTCTACGCCTCGCCATCGCAGAACAGGACCCTAAATACATAGCAGTCGGTCAAGCTCGTTTGCATACTTATAAAGACTTATCTAGCTTGCTCTATTCTACTCCTAACTTTGAAGGTTAGATCCCATTTCACATTCAAGTGGCAGCCAAGATACTGGACACACCCTCCACTACTTCATTTTTAACGGTCAAATTACCACCTTGGATCACCTGAGCTTCACTGAATATTCTCTCTGAGTACAAATTAAATAATAATGATGATAGAACGCAGCCCTGATGCACCGCTCTCTTAATAATTTCCTGCCAAGGTGTTGAGGATGTCATAGTTCACGAATCATGTAAACACATCTACACTAACATCCCTGGATTTAAACAAGTACGTACCTAAGTTAAAAAAATCGCACCATGTTATAATTGTCTTTAGTATTTTGCCCGAAATAGAAAGAATTTATACTGGTCGATAGTTTATTATATCAATCTGACTGCTACTTTTATGAATAGGCGCATGTCGAAATAGTCGGGAAGTGGCCCTCTGATAAAATTTTATTAATAAAAATAGCGGCCGCACAACATTTTGAAAAGTTTGAAGACAATTTGTTTTTTCCAGGGTTTTTATTTATATCTAGTCTGTTTAGCTGAATCCTAATTTGCTCTTCACAAATGATGTTTAAAGTTATATGGAGTATCTAACAAAAGGATATTTGCAAGAATTGAGGCAGGCTCATAAATACCAAAAAGAAAATGCCTTACAGATATCTGAGTCAGCTTTATAAGTGATATTCTAGTGCCTCACTTATTGTTGCCCTAATTCTCTTCCCCAGCTCAGAAAAAGTGTCGTAATCAATAGGATTGTTATATTTTTTCCATCTCGAGTGTGCATAATACTTCAGCTTTATATTTTATTACTTGAGACATACCAAGACGGATACTTATTGTTACTTTGGCATATCTATATTTAAGTTTTTGAAAATTCGATTTTGTCTTAAATGATTCTAGTGCGTTTTTATTTCATTTAAACTTACATAAATACTTAATGCTTAATGCTCTCAGGTTTCCACCGAGTTATATAATTTAAATAAGTGGTTAATGAGACTAATCATCCTATAATCGTCGCATTTCTTTGGTCCTGATTTATTAGGTAAAGTTTTAAATTCCTTTGGGATTTTACCTGTTTGATAATTATGTGGATGCCTAGACTTCGGATTCATTTGTAGTTCTAGAAAAATTTGGTCTTTCCTTACCCCATTCGTTGTTTTCGATCTATAAACTCCCAACAGCTTCTTTCTTTCTTCTGCGTTTAAGGTCTTCTTACTTATTCTTATGGGTTTTCTTCTGCCCCTGCCTGTGGACCCATTTTTTCGAAGTCCTCTCTGTTCTATTATTTGTATTGTATGAGTTTCTCTTAATATTTTTAGTCGTTTTAAGGTAATCATGCTTATTACTGTGTTATTTCATTATTTATGTCTTCATATCTGCAATGTCTTCTGTTTTTATCCTTTTACATTTAGGTTGATTTTCCATCCGGCCCAGGGTGTGTTTTTATAGATTTGAACGAGTTTGGATATCTTTTGTTAATTAAAATATAATTTGATTTCTGACTGTTTGCTCAGATGAATCCAATGGCGATTTCCACGTGTAGAAGTTAGAACGTGACGAATATTTCAAACCTATTTTTTCTTTCGTTTCTTTCTCTTAGTGCTTATGGTCCCACGTATTCACCTGATTTGCCTTTGCCTATTTTGGCGTTGAAATCTCTACTATTATAGCGTCTTTTTTTTGCAGACTTTTCAATTATGTCTGACATTTCATTCCTCTTTATCTGAGATTGGGACGCTGGAATAATATTGACAGATGCTGGTCTAGCGTATATTTGTAATAATAGCATTGGTTCTGAAACATTGACATATTTGGTAACATGTTTTGTTAGGATTACCTATTCCTACTCCATATTAACGTTAACATTGGTTTTGTAAAGTCAAACAGTCGTTTGAAAGATTACAGACAAAACTGACATTCGTGACATACATGCACGTATTTCATTTCAAGGGAGAAATTAATGAAAGTTAATAATTTCTTTACTTTTAATATTAATAGTTATTGGAGTCCATCTATATTCACTAAAGAATCATTCCAATTTTTACTTTAACTTTTAAATTAGTGTTAATGATATTGCAAGGTTGCGTGAATCCACCAATCACTTAAGTGAGTTGCTTAAGTAGAGTCCTATCGTTAAATGTGATTGTATTATTTAAATTTGAGAGTGTAGCATGTCGTACTTATTATTTTTTACTTGTTAAATACCACTAGAAATAAATAAGCGTTAACACACTGTTGTTTTATTCTATGAAATTTATCTAAATGTTGGATAAATTGTTACATTCGTTGGAAGTGCAAATGATAATTGCGAATGGTATAAATCCACACGGCTAATGAAAACAGGGTTGGAGTAGAGTTGGAGTAGTTTTTATGATGTGACGAGCTTGGGGTCAATATAGTGGACTTAGGCAGCGGAATGTCAAACATAAATATCAAACAGCTGTTTTAGATTGTTATTGTTTTTGTATTTCTATTCCTATTCATATTCCTACTTTGTTATTAATAATGGACAATAAGTTAGTGTATTGCGCCTTTGACTAGTTTTATAAAAGAAATTTATTTGGTCCGATGGTATTCTGTGCCCGAATCCATACCGAACCGACATTTCCTGGTCATTTGTGAGCAATATCTATTTTGTTAATCAAATAATTAAATTAACCATGTGCATCGATAACGTGGCGGATGCGCTGGGACAAAATGTATCTATATTTTACCATAATAAAACTTGTTTACACGATTCGGTATGGATGTATCATAAAAGTGATTTTAACAATTTTAAAAACCAGATTCGTACTAGAAGGAGGTTATCCAGTTTGTTTAAAAGTGGCACCAAACCAAATTCTATTGGTAGCAAGGTAATTTTAAGTAAACTGATCAAAATTAAACGCAGAAGAGTGTTGGTGGATAAGGCCGTGGGTTAATAGGCTAAATATTATGAAAGCGTCAACCATTTTGTTACAAGATTGGCTTTCTGAAAAACCATTTAACAATTTCTCCAGCCTAATTTGCAGAGCTAGTTGAGAATGTGAAGTAACCAATTGAGAAACGAAATACAATTATGAGATAAAGCGTTCATTCCCGAATTAAACTGCAAACTGCACTGAGATACCTTGCAGCAGACGATTGCTTTTCCACTTTAGAAGCAATTCACCGTACATCGTGTCACTTTTACCCTCTATCTATGGTAAAAACAACGATAAGGGCGTGGTTATCTGCTTACACGTTTTATGACAGACGATTCATTCGCCATGATTGCAGGAAGTGAATGAAAAGTAGCACCCGGCTCAACTTCGATCAGTGTTCACCCTGGGTGATCACTTTCAATGAATACTGGTTTAAATAATTCATTTTTTAATTTTCATCCAAGATAATCATCAAAATTGATACGTATGAAGAACAATTTTATTTAAATTGTTTGTCAGTCACATTCTGTTTGAATTTATGTCAACATTATTATCAGCAGAAATACGGATTTTAATGTCAAACGGGTAACTGTGCCAGGTTACAAGAAGCCACACCACATTATGCAAAAATAGTACATCCAAAAGAATTTTGATCATTTTTAAAAACCAGATTTACATCGAAGTCCAGTCCATTAAAAAAATGTGGAATTGCGGTAATTATAGTCATTATCTTTTAAGTAAACTTGAAAAAATTAAACGCGGAAAAAAGGCGCAGATTGATAAGGCCTTAGCTGATTCGACGAAATATTATGGGACCATCAACTTCAAATGGAAGAGAGTATTGCGGTTTATATTATTGGATTGTTATATTATTTCGATAGAACCACGAATTTTTCTTTCATAAAGAAAGTGTAAATTTAGTGATGCATAAATTTTGAAGCGAAGTGTATCATGTTAATTAACATTAAGAACAGCGAATGTATGTGAAATATATTTTATGTTCGCATTTGTCTTTGTTTGCTTTGGGCGAGGTTCAAATATTTTAATCCCAGTGGGATGTTCATAACTTACAAGAAAAGGAAACCTTTTTCGAAACGGTTTAAGATTTTGTTAAGTATCGATTCGTAAAAATTTCGAAACGCCACGAAGATGGCGATTAAATTTAGGTTCTGATATTTAGCCTGAATTTTCAACGGTCCTTCGAATAAATAAGAAAAGAAAAACAGCTGCGAAAAGTCGGCTAAAAGCTGTACCCATTAATCGTAAGGGGTGTCTTATATATACATTCTGATAACCTGTAATAGCTAAATTTTCAAATTATTCACTGTTTATTGCAATTCTTCGGTAATCAAGATTGCAATTTTAACTGGCACACACTATATTGGAGTTAGTGGACCGACCTATTTGACTTCCGCATCGTTTTGCAAAATGTTTAAGGTTATGTGATTTGTTATTGAAAAATCAGCATATTAAGAAAAGTCCACAAAAGTGATATTAGGCTTAATATTTGCAAAGGGAATATATACATACAATAACTTAGGATTAATGAATTTTCCTGATTTTCGAGTCTAGAATTTTAGCACGTGTCTTTGTACTGCACAACTTTCGAAATTTGTAAAAATCAAGATCTCATTTGTTAATAACCCACCCTGTATATTTTACCCATAGTGGAACGTTCGAATATGCAGAATGTGAACAAATTTTATCAACTTGCATACTTACAAAAAAGTACATATATAGAAGCATGTGCATACTATTAGCATACAATCAGTGTCCAATGAAGTTAACATTTTAAAGTAGCACCACTTGATGTTAGGAAATAGACACGCTAGTTAACATTATAAAATTAAACAAAATTAAATATAATATTTATAAACTTACTACTAATAGACTTTATAAACCGTAATATGTGGGTCTCAGGATACTAAACAACTTAAAAACGTGAAATTGTCCATTTAAATAGATACACAGAGTGGGCGATTAAAAAACGAGATCCTGGAAAATTCGAATAACCTAGTTAGACTAATATTTATTTTGGGAGCTTTTCTTAATATGCTGCTTTTTTAATAACAAGTCACATAAGCTTAAATATTTCCTAAACAGTGCGGAAATAGGTCGGTCTGATTAAAGATACGTTTGTTTTTATCACTAAATCCAAAAATGCAATAAAATGTGTTCCATTTACATTTCCATTTTCAGTCCAAAGTTGATGTCGATGATTGCTGATGATGTTGATAATACAGGTTTTGTGAAAATTATATGGGTCACTTTAAATTAGTAACAATAAAAAATTATTCAAATTTACAGGGAGAAATACAAATTAGTTCAAATCAAAAAATAATTTGGGAAATAAACTTGGAAAAACTAATTAAAAATTATCATGTCTGTGAACTTACTGGATATTACCAAACAACTACTGAGTGATAATAACAAAATTACTCTTTTTGATTGTAACAAAGTCTCCACTTATAAATACGATAGATTCTTGATTGTGCTTGCCGATCTCAGTTGATCTTTTTCTAGAAATTGTAAATCCTATTTCATGATAGCTCCTATTTAATTGGTTCTGTTCCCGGAATTTCTTCTGTATTGTTTATTATTAAGGGACTAACGTTTGACAAATGGTTTTTATAGCTCACAACGGGTAGGTGTTTTGTTTTCTTATAATTTAAAGTTAATTTATTTATTAAGATTTTAATATCCTTTCAGCTGTAGGTTGCAATTCTTTCTGCAATGTAGAGCATTGTAGTGTCATCAGCGATACTTACCAATAATTTTTAGTTCTAACAAGTCATTAACAAGTTAAGTGTTTTCAACATGCACTTAAATCGTTCTTATCGGGCGTTCCTATTAACTATTGGACCGACGCAATCTAATATTTGCCATTATTTTACAATAGAGATGGCGAAATAACAATTAATCAATATTCGGAATGCAAGTTCACACCGAAATATTTAAAGTGCGGCACGTCGGTTAATAAAAGTTTGATATATTTCACTTTTTTGGGGGCAAGGTTGCCTTTGAACGCGGCAATTTTGCAATTTTTTTGTACGACTTTGCACGCACCAGTAAGCATCTCATATGGTTTAAGTGTCTAGGATTGATCGCAATTGCCCATTTGCTGGGTTTTTATTTGAGCACAAATAATAAAACTAATTTCTAAGTTGTTTTAATTATGCTGATGCAGTTTACGAACTATATGTTTAAATAAGGAGGGCGTGAACAAAATCCAAACAGTTCAGAAACCCTCTCTTATACATGCTTGCAATATTTTATGAAAAATACTCGTCCGCTTCATACAGTGTGTGTCCCGACAACAAAATTATTCAGTACATGTACATAATTTAAATTTAAGATTTAGAACTCTCAATACCTCTGTATCACCATAAGATAAAACTGCTCATCTGATCATTTACTTATAAAATATAAAAAAATATAATCCCGTACCTAATAGGTATCTTAACGCTGTCAAGTGCTCTCAAACCTTTAAAAACAAGTACCGAGGACAGCTAAGCTCTTCCAAACTTGTCGATTTTGTGTGAAAAAATGCCTAATATTGTGCATTGTCCATATTAGTTTCTTAGTTTTTCGGTTCCATTGATTAATCAATGAGATCCAGTAGCAAACATTTTTCTTAAATTCTCTTGCGATCCATTTTGGAAAAAAACTGTTTAAAATCAGTTTTCGAAGAAAAAGTAAGACTTTTTTTTCCAATAAACACATGTCATAATTTGATTTGATTTCGAGAAAGAGTGTGTCCAAGTTTTCATAAAAAATCGGATTTTTATTGATTATCAAAAATTATTGTATGCTATTGTTTGTTTGTATGATTGAAATAGTTTTTTTGGAATAAGCTATTTGCAATCTTTACGATCTTTGCCTTGTCTAGCTTTTTCGCAACGTGTTTTGTTTTTGAAACAAATACATAAACACGGTTTCCGAACATGTCCCTAGACCACTTGAAACAATTGTACCTGATATTTTTGGCCCGATTTTTCTTTGTGCCGATTTTGATCAAGATTAAAAAGATTTTTGCTAGTGTATTTAATGTTCAGGGAGATACAGGAAATTGTTTCTCTCTCTTTTTTCAAGAACAAACCAAACTAACCAAAACTTGAACAGACAAAAAATTGTATTTTTAATTGTCTAATCTGAGAAAAATATTAAGCATACCAAAAAGTAGTGGCATACAATGATTTTCCCTATTAACTAGAATACCCTCTGTGACATCGATATTCTTTTTCTAATTGCCTTAAAAGAAACCCCTTATTATGGTAAATCAGAATGTCAAATTTTATAGAGTTGAGTAAACTCAAAATT